TTTGTACTTCTGAACGCCTCTTGGACATTTTTTATGAATGTATAGTCGAAAGAATAAGTCTATATGACGAGGAAAATTACTGTCCAAAGACGGGGACATAACATCATCCTTCAAAATGCTAGTTGTGACTCCACGATTATCATTTCGTAAGTAGAGAAAGGGCACCGTCCGGTTTTCCCGTTGTCAATATAATGTGAAATGCAGTGCTGGGTACCTTCGACACGATATTTCAGTCATTCGGAATCAGATCCACGATATATCAAGACGGTCAATACACCGACCTATCGCAGTAAGCGCCTACGCATGAATTTCAACGACATTAGCTCTTATACCAACTATTTAAACGAGTCTTAAATCATGATACGAACCAGTAAGTCAGGTGTAACATTACGGATATAATATAGACAGACAGTGGGGTTTTATTAACACAATGTGGGGGCACAATGTGTACCACATACCGAATTGTAACATCCACATTACTTATCGGTGAATGAATATCAAGTAACGTATCAGGGGAAGGAACACTGTTAAGACATAATTGACAGGTTGTTTAACTTCAATGTTTCAGTGAATCTTAAGCAATCATTCACATGTGGCAAGTACTATCTGTACTATCTGGGAAAGTGTGACTCAGCATAGTTTTTCATTCTGCGTCACAGTTTATTCACGAACAATTTACAGCAAAACACTTATAAATATATGGCATTGACCTACAGCCAACAAGATTTGTTTACAATAATAAAACAGATCTGAACTCAATTTTCGAAACAATCAGTATCTCTACAATTCTAACCTACATATACAAAAGTTTTTGGTCTGTTAAAAAAAATATAATTAACCATAGCCACGTTTTTACAATTTTTCAAGTTGACGTTTGTCTTTTGACACTTTTTTTCGTTTGATATAATTTTCTTTAACAATTTTAACAATTGTATTGGCCCTAATGACCCTTTTTGTTTTGATCGACCGTGAGGAATCAAAGTGCAGTGAATAGTGCACTCGCCTTTCACCAAGGGGTTTGATTCCCTTATCGGACACAAAAAGGTATGGGGTCACCTGCCCGATCACGCGGGTTTTCTATGGGTACTTCGGTTTCCTCCCACAATAATACCCTCCACGAGCTAACATCCGGGCCAACATTCGATTGATGTTAATCACCATTTCGAAAGAACTGCATTATAAAAGAATCGCAGATGAAATAGTACTATTTCAATCTGAGGAATCACCACGTTACATTGATACTTTAATCATATCCTTTTTTTAATTATTGCCATTTTGACAACAATGTCATGACTGGTCTTCTATTAGTTTACTATGATAGGTTATTGTAAAAGAGCAAATGACTGGAGCCCTTCCGCCAAAATGGTAAAGGTTTTAGCGCAAATCACTCTTGCCCTATTGCCAAAATGGTCATTATGATAGAACAAATTACTTGGACCCGGCCGCTGAAATTGTAATTTCTTTAGAAAAAATGTCTCGAACTCAACTAACGAAATGATCATTATTTTACAACAAAAGATCCAGGCACTACTAATAAAATGGACATTATAAACATCGAATTTTTGACTCGACTGTTTGTCATTAACTTTGAACAAATGATGAATTCACCGATGAGTAAAAAAAGAAACTTGCATAATTTATTTTCGTAGAATTTATTAGAGGGGAAACGATAAGTACAAGTGTTGGAAATATGTGTTCGGTGTACATATTAAATATGGTATGATATTATTTCCGGATATATATTTTTTTCCGATTCTGTGCAATTAAAGGAATATGAAAATTAAGAAGTTATGAAAGATCTTAACATTATTTCCTTAGAAATCAATATATATCAAATATTACAAATTTGCCCAGAAACCCTAGCGTATCGAATGTGAACTGATGGCAGAATATATGAACACTGAAGATACAACATCTCGCTTATATTATTTGACCACTTTACCAAACACCTTGTTTCAAATTATGCCTGCTGGGTTACAGATCCTGCCGAATGCAGTGAGGTGAACCCAGCTGTCTACAGCTCAGGTATCTACCGAATTACACCGAGACCTGGAGTCAGCCTCGAAGTGTACTGCCACATAGACACGGAAAACGGACCCTGGACAGAAGGTTAAAAAATAAAACATTAATATCTAACTTGCAATTACAAACCTACTGAATCATTTAGCCTGATGGTTAGGTCTTGGTAACCCCTATAGACTTATGTTAGACCTTCTTGTGCCTTTGGGTCCGATGTATGTCTGTCTGTTCGTTCTTCCCTCTGTTTTATTTTTTTCCAATCAGCTCACAATAAATTTGATAAATCTTATTATAAATCTATCATTTAAATAAATTATACCAAAGAAACACTTTTATTTTCACTTGACTCAAATGTGACAACAAAACCCTTTCATTAATGTTTAATAACGTCATCACTCAATTTGCCTTTCATGAGATCTATGCTGCTATAATACAACTTCAATTTGAAACTACTTGCTTTGTATTTAGCATTTACATTTTACTATTTTATGTATTGTTTTCTGCAAAACATTATATTTCATATTTCATATTTTATGGTTAAATAACAGGTACAACAAAATATGACTAAAATGTCCTCCATTCTTTATTTGATTATTTTCAAAGTATTGAAAATCCTGATTCCCTTCTGATATCGATTTGTAATAGAAGATGTTCCATGGCTGCAACTAAACAAGTAATGACCAAACGTTGGTACACACGGTTTTCCTAAAAAATGAAAATTTTGCTGGCTGCATCCCCCATTCCACCAACTGAAGTTGGATCTACAGACATCACAGAAAGATTTTTATTTTATGAAAGATTTTTCTTTATTTAAAAGCGCTTTCACAAGAAGGCAAATACACGAACATGCCCTGTCTCCGGAACACATACACACATGCACGCATACACAGCACAGATGGAGGCACGTCCTAGGACGCTAAACCGTATACAATCAGATCAAAAATTACTAAACTCGGTCGATTTGAATAGTATTTTATCAATACAAGGTATGCATTCGACCATCCATTTACTATTATTTTGTTAAGCATTTTCTAATTTCGACCACTGCTACGATTGTGTTGCATAGTTTGTGGAATGGTGATTACTTTATGCAATTTGGCGTTGAAAGCGACTTATAATAGCGGCGTAGTGTCTTGCCAGCGATTTTTTCAGCGTTGTTTTCTAATGTTATTTCTCATAGTTTTATATGATTATACACCACATATGTCCTTCTACACAGCCGACACCCTCACATTAGCCCTCCATCATCACTTAGCACCTCCTACAGCCTCTGTCACTTATCCTAATGTCCTTCAGTTAATCCTTGTTTCTACAGCCATCACTAATTATTTTGTCGCATTATCAGGCCAATTTGATTCAGCCACTACTTATCCACTTTTTTCTACCACCAAGCCTCTTACATCAATTTGTTTCTTGGATGTCCCGCTACCCAGCCGTCACTTATCCAAAAGCTCCTCTTTTCGACCTCATTAATACATTCATTGTTAATCCAGTTGTTCAAATGAATTATATACTAGGAACAAAAGTGGCTGGATTGTGTGTTTAGGAAGAAAATAACAGGTTTGGTAGGGGGAAAAAAGGGACTGGCTTATTTACTTGGAACAAAGGTAACTGGACTTTGGACTTGTAACAAAAGGAGCTGGTCTATGTCCTGGGATCCTTGAACCAAAGAAGACTGGTTTATGTACTTGGGACAAAGGCGGCTGGATTATGTACTTGGAACAAATATGAAAGGATTACGTACTGGGAACAAATATTATAGGATTATGCACTTGGATAAAAGGTTTTATCGGGAGCAAAGATGACTGGATTTTATATAATGACCAATGATCTATTTATATACTGGGAACAAAGACGGGCGGATTATGTTCCTGGAACAAAGGTGGCTGGTATATGTACTGGGAATAAAGGTGGCTGGTATATGTACTGGAAACAAAGGTGGCTGGTATATGTACTAGAAACAAAGGTGGCTGGTATATGTACTGGGAATAAAGGTGGCTAAATTAATTACTTGAATCTAAGATGACTGGTTTATGTACTTGGGACAAAGGCGGCTGGATTATGTACTTGGAACAAAGGTGATTGGATTATATACTGGTAACAAATATGAAAGGATTACGTACTTGGATACAATGTTTTATCGGGAGCAAATATGACTGGATTATATATAATGACCAATGATCTGTATATAAATACTGGGAACAAAGACGGGCGGATTATGTTCTTGGAACAAAGGTGGCTGGTATATGTACTGGAAACAAAGGTGGCTGGTTTATGTACTGGAAACAAAGGTGACATATATATACTGAGAACAAAGGTGACTGATATATGAAAACAAAGGTGGTTGGTATATGTACCGGGAACAAAAGTGTCTAGTATATTTACTTGGAACAATGGTGACTGGTATATGAAAACAAAGGTGGCTGGTATATGTACTGGGAATAAAAGTGTCTTGTATATATGTACTGGGAGCAATGGTGGTTGCTATTTGTACTTCGAACAAAGGTGGTTGGTATATATACTGGGAATAATGGTTACTTGTTTATGTACTGGGAACAAAGGTTGATTGTATATGTAATGGGAACAAAGGTTGGTGGATTGATTATACCAATATAGACAGTTTATCTAAAAAACAGAAAGTGTGTTAAGTGATAGCTATCCAAAATGTTTATAATTATTTCAATTTATAAAAAAAATCCATTCGTCCTGGATTTAAATAAACAATCTGTGTTATCATTAATGACAATATTGCTACTGTTACAGGTTTTGTAAAGTTGCATTTTAATAATGTTTTACAGCTTGTATGAGTGGATTTGTTTTAAACTTTAATTGCAGGTGTTATATGATTTTGTCAACCAATATATATCATACAAAAACTATTGTAAGAAGCTAGTAGTATATGTACAAATGTACCAAACTAGTAGTATTTGACATAAATATTATTTGTCGTCCGTCTGATATTGACAATGAAAGAGTAGTATCAATATAAAATTATATTTATTAAAAAATCAACACACATATACAATATAACATACAGGTGGTTTACAAAGTTACACGTACAATTTGTAAATCATTTCAGTTGGTGGTAACATATTTACACCAAATCGAATTTGACAAATTACCACCATCCATTTGAACTTACAACATAATGCAACTTCGTCAATTTGTTATAGCACATGATAAAAGAAAATACAACATAAAAAGTGTTGGAAACAGGTTTACATAATCTTCTGATGTTGACAAAGGAATATATTTCTTCAGAGATGAAGATAAACTGCATATCCGCAAAACTATTATTTACTTTTTGTGTTAATTTTTCAAAAGTATCATCCTTTTAGGTCGAGTATTTTATTTTCACCAAAAGCAATTATTTTGTCATAGCAGCTGTAAAATGTAATTTCATCGTAAACGTCGAATTACTTTATTAAATTCATAAATGCGTTTTGTCAAGCGTGAGAAAAGAAAAACTAAGATACAAAAATGACGTTTCTAGCCATGATTAAATGTTCATTCAGATTTGTTAACCGAATTACCAGCATTGCTTGTTTAACTGTCATACACAATCATGATATTCATGTTATTTCAGCATATACATTAATGAATAGGTAAGTGAAATACTCGTCATAGTATTAATATGGTTAATCCATCAATAAGAAATATTAAGTGACTGTATCCCTCCAAAATCCTTTGATGGTACGACTACAACTCGGTTGTTGCTTTTCCTTTTCTCAGCAATACATGTGATATACATAAAACTGTACCAAAGCCCAAATTATCCGATTAGTTATGTAACAATACGCAACACCTCGATACACTATGAAATATGGTATTCCTTACGCGAACTAGTTCTGATATTATAGTGTTATAGCAAGCATTTTGATCAAGTAATACAAATACTCATAAAAATATACGACTTCTCACTTCAACATCTAACAGTTCTGACTATATCGCCATGCTCTGGCCTTCAGTCACTGTCTTATTACACACAAATAGTAGGCAGTGTAATAACACCATGGCATACATAAATATACACTAATAATATATCCTATTGTGGTGTTATGAGGTGTATTACATTTACATCATAAATTCGCTGAACAGGCAGAATTTATGATATCTTATTTCATATTATTCAAAAATCTAGCAAAATTCCAAAGACAAATTGTGACACCAAATTATACATATATACATACTGATTTATGAAATGATATTGACATGTTATATGAATCCATACAAGGTATATGTTTGGTCATATCCCCCTCTTGCACAAGCTTAATCAAAGGTGACACAACAAAATTCAAAAGAGAAAAAAATGCACTCATAGACTTCCAAACCAGGTTTCGCTATTTTAGATCTTCATAATACTGTTCGAAATATTCATATTTTGACCTGGGTGAACTTGAAAAAAATGACAACATGTCAAATATGAGAAACACCTGATAGTACTTCTTTTAGGACAGGATGACGTTGGGCGTTATGGAAGGATAAACGTAATTTGAAAGTACAGTGTATATAATATACGAGAACTGATTACACTACATCTTATAGCTGTTTCGTCCTTCTAGGACTCATAGGTGACAAAGAAGCAGCAAATCCACATGTTTCTTAACTACTGTTTACACAAAAGAGGAGGTGCATAAAACCACATGATTTATTGATTTATAACTCATTGAAACATTTGTATTTCATATTTTGCACATTTGACTTAAATAAATTACTAAAAAGGTAGTATAGAAAATATGCTTATATGGTCTACATAACATATCCAAGTACCATGGTTCTAAATCTTTCGGTTCTTTACAGGAGAGTTGGTTGAATTTCTAACACGTCTGCCCCATTTGATATTGAACGTACGTTAAGGTAATTTAATAAGGTGAATATTAACAATACATGATTCTACCAGTAGCTGCTAACAATACATCATTTCCCTTAGCATGTCAGTTCTTATGAAAACCAATTTAAAGAGACAGCTGAAAGACGAACGGCCGGCAGACAACGGGCTTTATAAAACATAATACACTTACAGACACTTAGTGTCATCTGAGCCAAAATGGTGTAAATAAACATGATTGCGTAAAGCATCAAGTATTTATGATCTTGGTCTCTGTTGTCTATTTATAGAACTGGTATAAATTATAAGCACAATAACATACGACTTAAACTGGTATTTAACACTAATGTAAAGCAATAAAGAATGTATTTGTAATTTATGATACAATTATAAACATCATCCGTAACTATAAAGTACTACATAAATAGACGGAAACAAAGATATAATAACGTACCTGCATATTCAATAAAATCAGTAACTCCGAACCAATATCCGCTAGTTACATTGATAGTTTACGTTATGTTTGGGACGTCACACTTATTTTAAAGATATCTCGTTGGTCCGATATAAGTATACAACTTCGAGGAACTTGATAGTTTTATATTAGCGAGAACATTCGGAAACTTCTGGTCGATTCTCTACGTTTCTAGCCCGCATAGTTACCACAAAATAACATCTGAGTAAGGTTTTAACAAAACCTACAGTCATATGTTCTGTATCTTTTCTAATAGAAATGTGAAAAAAGAAACTTGAAAGAGGAGAACAATTTAGAAAAAAAAACTTTTACCAAAACCACTGAAATATAATCAGGAAAAATTGTGTTCCATACGCAACAAAACTGTGCTTTATGTCAAATATTAAGGTCTTTTGTCAATTGAGGAGAAAGAATTAGATAGGGAAACGAGTACCGGATGATTTTTTAGCCTACGTTCGAACCTGAACGTGATGGGGAGGAGAAAATGTGTCCCACTCTAGATTTATTCGGAATTATTTTACATTTGAATCCTTGAATCCGATGACAAATGAAACGTTGTTCATTTTTGGAATTTAACAAGGAGATCTTCATCATATTACGTAGGACATCATAGCTTATAAAGCTATATTTGATACATATACATTTTGATAATTTCTTTGAGGTCCATACTTGAATCCAATCCGTGTAATTTTGTCACTGCAGAGAGTGCCACTATAGACAGTTTAAAATCACGTTCATACATACATATTAAAGTTTTTGTGTTGAGTTTCTTTCACAAGCGTCGGTATTTATATACTCGTTAATACACACACATAGGGGTAAACACGTCGAGCTTCTTTGGTCGGTAGCTGGTATCCGCGTACATTACAGAATAGCACAACTCCACCATGGTTATTCCGTAATCTCCTCCTCGTCTGCAACACAGTATGCCATTGCGGTTGAGTGCCAGTCCATTCTGCACAGTTTCATTGCCTTCACAATCCTGATAACGGTTGCCTGGTCTCGGAAAGTGTTGATCCAAAGCTTGGTCAGCTTCTCCACTCTACTTTTATCACTGATGTGATCCATTCCACACTTCTCTATGGTAGGGACTGAGAGCCCAAGCTCCAGAAACAGGTTGAAGTAATTCTTGCCTATGTTGTCTACAAGGTCCCCTATTTCACCGACGACTAGTTGTCTGTCGAGTCCCTTCTCGTCAGAGTCCATGTCATCTGCAATAAAAATATATCGGACTAATAAGTTTTCTTGTGATATACAACAAAAGCGTCTAAACAGTATTACAAGTAGTGCTATTATACTAAAGATAAGCCAAGTTGTCTTATTCTCATGGAGTTATTGAAAACTTGACAACAATGTTCACCAACTCCTGAAATCGTGCTTAGTTAATTCTATTTTTTCTGTATGTAGATTACAACAACGTTCATTTGTATTGTTTGCTTGACAAATTAAACAGATGTTTTGGGTGGTCGGATGGCACAGTCGAAAGCGCACTAGCCTTCATTTGTTAAGGAGGCCGATTCAAATCCCCGTTCGAAGTGGACAGTTGTGGGGTCACACGCCTGACAACGTAGGTTTTTGCCGGGTTCTCATGCTTTCCCCCACATTTAGACACCAAGCGCTAGCATCCGGGCCAACAAAAGTGATTAAGATAAGTTGTAAAAAAAGAGTTAACACACAATATGAGCTTCCAAACAGAAAATGTTCCCAGTAAGTATCTAGTCTGTCCTGTGGATATTACCTTACATAGCGGCTCTTCGTATTTACAAATAACGACATATGTGCTTTCAGTCTCATTACCAACATTTTATAATTATAATAATAAATATGATAATTCGAGGTTCTCATATACCGCTTTATCACAACCTAGTTCTTAGGTCGTCTCAAAGTGGTTCACAAATTAGTATCCGTGGTTATAGGGCCTTTGCAACCACTCAATATTGTTCTCAACTTACTAGGGAGCATACAGCCGGTGCAGCCATTTCGGCGCTCAAAACTAGCATTCTACAATTCTAGCACTACCCAACCACGTTCGACCCTGTGAGGAAGGCTTTTGGTTCTGTCCCCAAGCCGAGACATACCAGAGTCTGTAGCAATGGTAGTGTCTACTCCCGCTTAACGCTCAGCGATTTAGGAGTGGGACGACTGGTTCGCTCGATGTCAGTATAATGTGACCGAGTGGGGTGTCCTGCTTTATGTCTTCGGCTTTGTTTTAGTGAGGTAGCCTTTGAAAGTCGGCATCAGTTCCGCGCTATACAAGGAGGCAAGCAAAAACATATCGCACCCTCCAAAACAACACACTCATACACTACACGCATGCATCTTGCATACAGGAAAGGTCCGTCCATAAATTACCATAGCTGTTAATAGGACGTTAAACAATACTAAACTTAACCCAACCACGTACTTTACAGCTGAGTAGACTGGAACAAGCGGAGTGCCGTGACTCGAACCCGCAACCCTTCCGGGTTCTTACCACTGGCTGGACTTCCGTGTCTCCATTTACATTTCGATTTAAAGAATCCTAAACAGCCCCTGATTTTACTCTTTTGACTAATTATTGACTAGAGTAACACATTCCCAACCAGTCTCCACGGTCATGCCGAGATTGTCTGTTGTCATGTCGGCCTCCGACATGGCCATTTCGATGTGACGAAACGTTTGATTAGGATAGGCGTACGTCCACTTCAAAAACATCCTGGTTATCTGAGTGACAGCTGCCAGACTCCTTGCTTCGTGCTCTGTGTTTGAGATCTCTGGTAGAGACAGGCCAAGCGCGATGAAGAGTTGCTGACATTTGGACGCATCGACCATGTACGATAGACGACCGAGCTCCTGGGGTGTAGGCCTTCTATCAAGGCAGGTTTCCTCTGATGTAAAAATAAAACAAACACTGTTAGCAATGCTGTTTTTTTCTCTCTTTTGTATTGTGTTTTTTGGATTAAAATATGCAGCCACGTCTATCATTAGCCATACAAGTATTAAACTTGCTTTGTATGCATCATAAGTTATCTAGTAAATTCGATTTGTTATTTTAACATAAGATACGTGTGTATACGAAAACAATTTTTCTGATTTTTCGGGGGATCAGACCCACCGTTTATACACAATTTGTTCCCCTTCACCCAAGGGTGTTTCATACCAAATTTGGACAAAAGCCTATTATTCCTACAGAAAAAGACAGATTTTGAAGATTTGCTATGTTTCCCCTATTGGGCCCGCCCCTCTGCCCCTAGGGGGCGACACCCACTGTTTATACAAAATTTGGTCCCTTTGGCTAAAGGATGCTCCAGGCGAAATTGGGATGAAATTCCCTAATCCCTATGGAAGAAGAAGTTTTTAAAGGTTTACCTCTATTTCCCCTATTGGATCCCGCCCTTCTGGCCCCATGGGGCCACATCCACTGTTTATAAACATTGAGTCCATTTTGCCCAATGATGCTCCATACCAGATTGGGATGAAATTCCTTAATCACTAGAAGAAGGATTTTAAATGTTTACCTCTATTTCCCCTATTGGGTCCTGTTTCTCTGCCCCAACGAGGGCCACACCCACCGTTTATACAATATTGTGTCCTCTTGACCTAAGAATGTCCAGGACCAAATTAAGTCAAAATCTACTGGGCCGTTCAGGACTAGTAGCGTTTTAAAGGAAATGTTGACGGAAGGACAGACGACCGATGGACGGACGACCGACGTTGAGGTATGGCATAAGCTGACCTTGGTCCTTCATAAATGATGTATTGGTAGCACTGATTGCTGATTAAAGCAAAAATAATACCTACTAACTGTTGTTAGATCCAGACAGAACAAGGCAGGAATAACAAAAAAAGTAAAACAGAAATGAACATCATGAGGAAATCAGCGTAGGTATTATCTGTCACATGAATATATATTGGTTCAGGCACATTTGCTATTCAACAAAACATAGATATCATTACATCAACTGTGAACACTATGCTAAATTGTTGTCTTAATTTCGATCTTATAATCTTCCTCTTTATTCATTTTACCATGAACGACCAGGACGAAGTGGTATCGTCGATCTATCTTCAAATTTTCCAGCCATTGAGAAAATCATGTAAAACATGAATGACATAACGTCCAAATATATCTTGTTTTCAAAGAAAGAACCATCGAATACTAGTTAAGTAGGAAAACCAATTTTATATCTTAAAATGTGTGTACTTATTTACCTTAATGACATATTTCCAAATGGTATTCTATGTGAAATTGTAATGGCTATCGTACCATTAAAATTAAGTTTGTCTAGCATGCACTTTCCTGTGTATTTAGATGATATGACCCAACCTAAATGGGAATTGTACTTCAAATAATATTGTCATGTGTACTAAAACAAGTAGTGTATATGTTGCGATAGCACTGATTGATGATGAAAACAAAAATAATACTTACGATCTGTTGTGAGATCCAGACAGACCATAGCAAGGTTAAAAAGGTAAAACAGAAACAAACAACAGAAGGAATCTAACGTTAGAAGTATCTGTCGCATGTATACATATTATATTAAACACATTTGCTATGCAACCTTACATAGATATAATTACATCAAATGTTAAGAATATGCCAAACTTTTTGTCATAATTTCGGTCTTGTAATCTTTCTTTGTATTCATTTGACCGTTAACAACCAGAAATCTTTGTTTATGTAGATCTTTTTTGGATATTCAAGCCGTTGAGAAAATCATGTAACACAATAGCTACATGATGATGACATCTATCTTGTTTTTCAAAGACCGTATCGTTGAAAGTTATTGATACAAAAGTAAAAATAAATGAACTTAGATTGTTTCATCATGTTTTTCGTAATTTCAACTGTCCAAAAGTCTATTATATAAGGTTGTCATGAATATCGTGATGTGAAAACTGTGTTTGTCTAGCAAGCAATTTATTGTATAAAATTAGTTAATATGACCTCAATCAAATATATTTTGTACGTGATATGAGATTATCTTATGTATTTAAACAAGTAGTGTATTGGTGGCGAAAGCACTGATTGACGATGAAAATAAAACTAATACTTACGTTCTGTTGTTAGATCCATAGACGACGGCAGGAGCAAACAAAAAGTGAAAAGAAATGAACATCTTGAGGTAATATTTAGCATGAATACTTTTTTGATAAAGCACATTTAATTTTATTAAAAATAAGGAAAAATATCAAAGAAAGAGGAATTAAGGCATCACTGGTGATGTCAAATCTGTCAAACCACTGGGATCTGACGATCTCCTCAAAGAGGTATTTCGCAGACAACCCCTGGGAATTAACAGTTTTCACAAGGAAGAAGAATAGCATTATTCTTACAAACACATAAATACTTGTTTACTCAGAGCCAGAGTTTCTAGCAACTGTGACAATCGATTACCAACGCTACAATATCTCCTTATACATCCCAAATTCATTTACATGTCGTAACTGTCAGAAGTACTGCCATCATGAAAAAGGTGTAAGACGAAGACGGTCTGCCAGTATTGTGGTCGTGATAGACAACCTGTGCTGTGTGAACTGTGTAGGAAAACACGTGGAATCGTATCGGGACTGTCCTGTCCAGAACCAGGATAGAAAGATGCTGCAAGTGAAATGTCTCATTTCCTGAGGCTAGAGGTTCAGTAGAAAATAGAGACATTGGAAAGGCAGCCATTTGTTCGGACTCTCTATGGGTTCGTCAACATTTGCAGTTTCGGGATCCCAAAACACTATCATGCAAATCATCTCTCTTCGCATATCTTGTATCTCATGTCAGAATAAAACACAATGAAGATGCTAACACCTTCCAGCAAACCAATACCACACTGCCATCTACTTTTCGAAACACATTACTAGATCGGTCATTCAGGATAAATGGCAGCAATGATGGCATTTCGAGAAACGGTACAAAGGGTTTTAAAGTGCAATCAAAACTTAAACCTTGCATATGCATATAGTAACCTCGGCGATGAGATTGTCCTTGCTCGGTTCCCCACTTGTCATAATGATTTCACCTGAGCATGGAGATCCAGCTTACTTCTTACAGTTTAGCGTTTCAAAATCGAATGTTCAGATTTTAGAGACATTCCTATCCCGGTCATGAACACGATTTTTTTTACTTCTCTAGACTTCGAAGCATCATTTGACTTCGGTCTGTTTTATAAAGTTTGGATCCATCGACTTGTTTTCGGCATTTATCAATTATCTCTTGTCGTTTCAATTTTGATACGATTATAGTTTTTCATTTTAAGGCCTTCCACCTTTTCTATTTTCGTATTCTATCTTACTGATGATTTTAAGATATACGAGGTTTTATCTTATTCTTTTATCAAATGATCGCCCCTTCTTAAAAGAGTATCTTGGCAAAAAATGACCGCAGTTTTCAGCAGGCAATTAAGCACAACAACAAATAAGTATTTCAATTTTATAAATGTCATGTTCATGGCTACAAAATTGCCGAAACTTTGTTCATTTAAAGCGCAATTACACTAATAAGGTAAATGACATGACGCGAGTGAAATGTCTATGCTACTTATCATGACAAAATTATATTACTGTTTTAAGATCAAATCAGACCAAGACAGAACTTAAAAACAAGAAGAGGGAAAAAACCACATTATCATAGAAATCAATCTATACAATATTTATATGAATCTTTTGCATTAACGCAATTGAGCACGTTTATAACTGAACCAAACATTTGCATATACGCATTTTTTATCATAAATCAATACCAAAGTGTCAACAAAACCATTACTCGAAATCAAAATCTAGGGCAAATATGACGATTGAAATATTTATAGGAAAAAATAACGGAGACGTTTGAAAAGGTACAAGGAGATTCAGACCAGACGTTCCGGAATGGTAAGCACCTTCGTCGTTATCGAAGACACCCATCGTGTAAATCAATGTAAAATCCAAGTAATGTCCTCACTTTAAGAATTTGTGCATTGACAACAAGATCATAAGAAACACTAATGAGCGTAATAACAAGCACCGACCTTCAAATCAAACAAAGAAATAAATGTCCCAGCGAGACCATGATAGCAACCAAAAAAGTGTTCATAGTCGTTAAGAACCAGCATCATTTGGATAGCTATTCTATGAATAAAAGTTGTTTTACATATCAAATAAAGAACAGAAGTTAATCATGATGTACATGAATCATATGGATACTGTTTTAAAGATTTTGGTTTTTCGAGACAGATTAGAATTAACACAACATGTTACATTTAACATTTATTATGTTGAAGTATTTAACATGTGCACGTTGAGAAAGGTGAAACTAAGACATCGGAGGACAATCCGAAAATATAAAATGACAGTACATTTTGAGATATAGAAATATGATTTAAGACGTAGTATTATAGACCAAGACATTTTTTTTACACAGGATTTAGTTTCAAATTTATTGGTTTCCTCAGACACATTACAATGTACAACATGATGTATCAGAGTACAATAATAAGTCTATTGGAAGATGTTGATTATTTATATAAAAAAAAATATTGTATTTGTTTTACTTTCAGATTTTTTTATACAATGCAAATTACATTTGTAATAGCTGAAAATCTCACACACACTAATCTCGCTTCCACTTTCACAAACAATTATTGATTGACATTTTAATAATGTTTTCCAATGTTTACATTTACATTGCATTTGTATAAGGAAAGCAGAAAAGGAAAGGTTAATAAAAAGAAAAATAGACAGAGGATGAAAAAAAGGCAAGGACAAAACTTAGACAGACACAGAGAGAGAGAGACAGAGAGAGAGAGAGAGACAGAGAGAGATATCAGGCAATCAGTAGTAAATATATATATATATATGTATGACTAGCAGAGGAAAACATGAGGGAGTAAAGAGTATGTTGTCAGCTGCAAATGGCAATATATGTATAGTAATAGCTAAACAAAATATTTTGATGTCTTATGGATAGGAAAAATGGATACAAAACAACTCATATACTAGTGACCAATAATATAACATATTATAACTGTATACAGTATTGTTAAAATAAAGTTCAGCAAATTGAAGATTCATGAGATATTAATTAACTTTTGCCATTTTTTCCAATTATTTTTAAAAGAGTTATTATATTTGTCATCTTTACCTGTTGCAATATATTTTTGTGTAGTATAGTTGTCCTTGATTGCTTTTTTAAGACCATTTATAGATAAATTTGTTTGTAGGCATCTTGCTGAATAAATATATTGTTTCATAATCAAAATAATTGTAATGTCTATTGGTGTTCTTATTCCATCTTGATTATATAGTCCAAAGATAAAAGTTTCCTTATTGTAAGCAAAAGGAATCATTAAAGCATCTAATAAAAAGTCAAAATTAAAAAATTAAAAAATAAATAAAAAATTGATTATTCATATTATGTTACACAGAATAATTGGATTTTGGGCTTGCTCACAATGCTTCCATTTATGTTTCAAAAAGCTACCATTGTAATTAAATGTCTCACCCGGTACACTAAAATTGTCCACCTCGTCTAAAACTTCACCGTAACATGGTTATTATTAGAATTGCGTTTACAGAATACGAGTATCTTTGTTTTCTTCACACTAATTTCTTATTTCCATATATCACAGTATTCGGAAAAACGTTAGGAGCACTTTGCAAACCTACAGTAGAATCAGAAAGAAGAATTGTATCGTCGGCGTATAACAGGACGAACAGATCCACATTCATATTTAGCTAAGTCTGGAATTTGTCTTTCAATTGTTTTAAGGGGGAAAACAATTAACTCTTTAAAGTCTTCCATTTCATTAAGGTTGAAAGAGAATAAAAACGGGGAAAGATTTTTGCCTTACACCAACTAGACAGGGAAATAACTCAGACTTTATGGGGGTTTTTAATACTACACATGTTTTGATATTTTTATACATGTTTTGACAATAACAATGCATTTGCCTCTAATTTTACTTTTTAATAAAAAAAAACGCCCTACTCTCTAAACCAAATTAAACGCTTTTCTAAAATCGATAAAAGTCGTTGAGTTACTTTTCCGAAACCTGCTTGATTTTAAGAGAATATATTATTGTTATTTGAGTAGTCATTAAGCCTGATATTCAAAATATGAGTAAACAATTTACCGTTGCAGCTTATCAATGTGATGCCCCGGTAATTATCTGGATCTTAAGGGTCACCCTTTTACTTGTAAATTTATTTTATTATCCCGATTGTCCAGGTTTCAGGAGTCACTCCAGAGTCAAAAATCATCATCATCATCATTATCACATCTTCATCATGATCATAGGCGTTTAACTGTTTGAAAAAGTTACAAAGGACATCCAATATTCATGTCCATAATTTCCATAAATTCCTTGGATTGAGTTTCGCCGACGCAAATAATTCGTGCGCACATTTCGATATATATTATTAAATACTCTTGTTTTATTGTTTCCGTTATAATTTAGCACATTTGTTCATATCATTCTTACTTTTTTATATTTACTTAAGCTGTACCTTGATCGACTCTTGTTAAATGCAGATCTAGTAGCTATACATTTCTTGTCAAACCATGGTTAATTTGTAGCAGCTTATTTCGGTTTCGGCCTGTTATCAGCGCTAACATACCCCCCCCCCTAGTTTTCCGAGTCATGTCTAGCAAATTATTACAATATTGCGTCAAATTCATGTTTTCAACAAGATAGTTGCTACGTAACGTATCAATCCGGTCACTCATTTTATTTATTACATGTTTCACCTCATCAATCGACTCAGTGTATTAGTTGTTTTTACTATGTTCCCATCTCACATACTCAGTTATTTTAGACCAGAAACATTTTCTGTAATTTTAGGTTTATAACCAATACAAAATTTGAATTGACAGTGAACATCTGAGAACATTGGATTATGATCACAACTTTCTAAATCAACAATACTCTTAGCTACAGCATCATTAAATAGTAAGTAGTCAACGACACTCACTTCTTTACAGGTCACCTTACCAACACCTTTGCCTTTATTGTGACGGCCATTACCTATCAATAACGAACATCATTTGTACATATCAATTAATCTTAAGCAATACGTATTAGCGTGACCTTTATCTTCGTCAACTCTATCAATAGATACATTACAGGATACCAGCCTCTGACAAGCGTGGATATCCTCTACTTCACTCGTGTCAATATTTAGAGTATAAACGAAGTCCTAATTAGGTAAAACATTATCAATTAATGTGCTAATACGACCATTAAAATCACCATCCAACACATAAGAGGTGTTTAAAGAAACACTAGCTTGTTCCTTTTCTATTTCAGAACAAGACTCTTCTAATGAGTTTACATCCGGATATACAAACAACCCAATAGTGCACTATAAAATTAGGTAAAATTATCACAATTCCGCCAGACATGTGCTTTAATTTAGATCTACTGTTTCAGGTGATAGCTATAAATGAATGCCCCGTTGTGTTGAAATATCAAGTATTGTGTTGAGATAACGGAAAGAGATGGGATATGAGACATGCATGCCTAATGCAATCCTAAATCACTGGTTCATTAACAATTGGCTAGGTTGTCGTCAGTTCAAATAATAAAACCTTTAATAGTTCAAGGATCGTTTATGATATAACGGGGATTTGTCTCCCTTTGGGTATAATCTGGAGTAAGTTTTTTTTAGGTTTTTAACTCTTAGGCATTCGATTTTCCGCTGTGTTTATTATACTTTTATATCTTGCTTCAATATGTGAAAAATTCAATAAATATTTGAACGAAGGAGGATTGGCTAAAAGATTGGTACAGTTTAAAAAGAATGCGTATGTCAATAGTTTGTTAAAAGATATTCACCCGAATTACAAGTATATTGTCACTCAAAAACGAAATAATTTAGCGATTTTATCCTCAACGTATATTATTTTGGAATGTGTCAAGCTTTTCACAAACTGTTCGCAAAACTATTAAAAATGTATTTTGATATTGATGTTTACTTTTCTTGTTGATAAGCCTCTCATAAGATGAAAACCAAGGTTTTTCGTTGATTATTAGGTACAGTAGTGTACAAAGTCGAAAATCAAATGTTCTTATAGAGAAAGAAACATTTCTGGGAAGGTGTTTTTGATTGAACAAAATATTTGTTGTGTTCATGACATTTCATTTTACAAAAAGAAAACAGTTTCATAATACCATTTCAATCTGAATTAAGGGTAAGACGAATGGTGTTAAGAGGTTCAGATAGTGCCTTGGTTCAACAACTTGCTAGAATTCAGAGGAAAATACAAGACAGTCGTATATTGAACTTAAAGTTCACAGTCGAAAAGATGAAAAGTTCAACACCGGATATACCAAAATAAATAATAATCACAAAAAAATAGATATGTATTTCCATTTGTTCTGCATTGCCACTTTATAATCTTACCAAACAATATAGAAATATCATAATTCTCACATAATTCCCATTGGTGTAGTGATATGAAGAACATGTTTGTGACGTCGTGAGTTAATGACGTTGATTTGACCGACGTCACTACATTAAGTGTATTATTGACGTCACGAAAATCACCACATCAATCATCACTCACATTCCTCATTGCAACCCATCCGTTCTACCGGTTTAGAAAACAATTTGAGCAATGTAACTCGCAACAATTTATGCTCTCACGGTTGAAATTAAATTGATGAATTTGTGTCTGTTTCAACGAACTTCTTTGTTTTGCTGGGAACGTTCGCGTGTACTCGTGACGTCACAAGAACAGGTCTCATTGACAGACAGCTCGAAATTCGACTTTGAAATGCGATAAGAGATTGGCATAAAAGAAAAAGGAAATATAAGCATTAAACTGCGCGTTATTTAATTTGTGTGCAATCCTGTGAAACTATAGGACAATAACTTTCCAAAGAAGGCAGAGACTCAAAAAATAACAACATATTATTTATTTTGCACCAAACTTATATCATTGGGCTACTAATCGTCAAACGTTAAATTGGTAAAGATCAACTTTATTTTTGTGATTCCATTAATGAAATCTAATACAGCTAAATGTTTAACTGGAAATACTCGAAATTTCCTTAACTCTTGTAAACAATCCAAATATATTTTTGAAAGTACTTACGACTGTAAATAAAGTTAAAAGCCGAACTTACTTTTAAACCATGTAAAACAGGAAATTCCTTTCCCATAACCCATGTATAAGAAGAAAATTCTTGTCCCAAAAAACATTTATAACATGAAAACGTACACAGAAAACCAAGAATAGCAAGAAATACGTACCCCATTTGGTCAGCTTTTGGTCCCCACTATCGTCTGAACCCGACGCCATTTTCCTGGTTAGTTATATTGGCCTTACAGGTAGTTTCGTTGGTGACATCTAGAAAAATAAAGTTTACATTGACACATATTTCGCTGTGTTTATTATACTTTTATATCTTGCTTCAATATGTGAAAAATTCAATAAATATTTGAACGAAGGAGGATTGGCTAAAAGATTGGTACAGTTTAAAAAGAATGCGTATGTCAATAGTTTGTTAAAAGATATTCACCCGAATTACAAGTATATTGTCACTCAAAAACGAAATAATTTAGCGATTTTATCCTCAACGTTTTTTTTTTTGGAATGTGTCAAGCTTTTCACAAACTGTTCGCAAAACTATTAAAAATGTATTTTGATATTGATGTTTACTTTTCTTGTTGATAAGCCTCTCATAAGATGAAAACCAAGGTTTTTCGTTGATTATTAGGTACAGTAGTGTACAAAGTCGAAAATCAAATGTTCTTATAGAGAAAGAAACATTTCTGGGAAGGTGTTTTTGATTGAACAAAATATTTGTTGTGTTCATGACATTTCATTTTACAAAAAGAAAACAGTTTCATAATACCATTTCAATCTGAATTAAGGGTAAGACGAATGGTGTTAAGAGGTTCAGATAGTGCCTTGGTTCAACAACTTGCTAGAATTCAGAGGAAAATACAAGACAGTCGTATATTGAACTTAAAGTTCACAGTCGAAAAGATGAAAAGTTCAACACCGGATATACCAAAATAAATAATAATCACAAAAAAATAGATATGTATTTCCATTTGTTCTGCATTGCCACTTTATAATCTTACCAAACAATATAGAAATATCATAATTCTCACATAATTCCCATTGGTGTAGTGATATGAAGAACATGTTTGTGACGTCGTGAGTTAATGACGTTGATTTGACCGACTCGACTTTGAAATGCGATAAGAGATTGGCATAAAAGAAAAAGGAAATATAAGCATTAAACTGCGCGTTATTTAATTTGTGTGCAATCCTGTGAAACTATAGGACAATAACTTTCCAAAGAAGGCAGAGACTCAAAAAATAACAACATATTATTTATTTTGCACCAAACTTATATCATTGGGCTACTAATCGTCAAACGTTAAATTGGTAAAGATCAACTTTATTTTTGTGATTCCATTAATGAAATCTAATACAGCTAAATGTTTAACTGGAAATACTCGAAATTTCCTTAACTCTTGTAAACAATCCAAATATATTTTTGAAAGTACTTACGACTGTAAATAAAGTTAAAAGCCGAACTTACTTTTAAACCATGTAAAACAGGAAATTCCTTTCCCATAACCCATGTATAAGAAGAAAATTCTTGTCCCAAAAAACATTTATAACATGAAAACGTACACAGAAAACCAAGAATAGCAAGAAATACGTACCCCATTTGGTCAGCTTTTGGTCCCCACTATCGTCTGAACCCGACGCCATTTTCCTGGTTAGTTATATTGGCCTTACAGGTAGTTTCGTTGGTGACATCTAGAAAAATAAAGTTTACATTGACACATATTTCTGAGTTTTGGCACGTCAACATGCAAATCGCCTTATCATATTTCTGATAACCAAACATACACTTTGTTTGCAACATAGTGGATTAGGTTGTTCATATAGGATTGAATCCGGATAGTTCCACCATTACTGAAAGACTGGACGGGGAAAGGACTAGGGCCGTCAAGGGTCATTCCCGGTCTCATCGGATATTTTGAATTAATTGTTGTATTCGTAACCTGGAGTAAATGAAGTATGAAAATATGAAATATCAATTTCATTCGACAACTGGTTTAGGAGAAATGCATTACAAATGTCGTCTTTTATGCGTTATTTGGTTGAAAATTGGTCATTTTGAAGAAAATTAACTAAACACTTTTTAAGGTTTGAAAGCCTTCGAATGCAACAAACAAATTAATATTTGACATGCTTAAACATTTCCATAGCAGTTTTCATTCGTAGATAGGACTTTTTGTTTGTCACATGCAGAGGCTTTGCTTTATGCATGCTAACTGTCCCAAAACATATTAGTTTGGCTATACCTGTACAGCAACGCAATTTCGTTGCTACGGTAGGGCATATACGCATGCGCATTGGAAAACAGAAAGACAGATAGCCCTAATTAACCAATATGATGTTTTAAATAAAAATTGGTAAATATGTTCAAGTTGAATTTCTTACTTTTTATGAGGCCAAAAATGACCCATAACGCCCTAAGTCCTTTTACACTCGATAGTAGAAGCTTTTGCAATGTAATGACCCTCCAGAGCATTCTCGATACTCTAGTGGATTCGCTCAATATCCTTCTCTTCAACCCTCGAATATGTCATGAAGTCGTCGAGGGCTCTGTGCACGAGCAACTTGTGGATGACACAAGAACATGTAGACTAGTTTGATCCTTTGATGAGCTTCAGAAGAATCGCAAAATAGTGTAAAGGTAAAAATGACTTTAAAGGCTTTAAAATTCAAGTATCGCTCGCATAGCTATCATGTATGCCTTTATCTGTTCCAGGGGTGTAAAGAGCATAGGTGATCGTAACTTCTCTAGTTTTGAGGATTTGACACTCTAAGTGTTAGAACGAGGGTTGAAGAAAACATCTCAGAATAATCATGGTTAATACAGAGGTGTAGTGGTTAAGCTTAGGTCAACGAGGTGGGTTACTGGAAATTGAAAACGGTACTTCGAAATATGGAGATGACGATTTAAACGATGTTGTTGATGATTTATTTTTTGTCAACCGACTGTGATAACGATACATGGTTGGAGCATTCGACATGTGTTATAACTCTTGTCGCTGTGGAACTACTCGCCGGGCCTAAGTGATTGTATGTGCTTCGCCCTATGTAAGTGACGCCAGGGTAGAGGACAGCAACATCCTCTGTTTGATTAAAAATAATATATCATGTGATCAGAAATCAGACTCACCTCACCGGCTCGATCTAAAAAAAAGAGGTATTTTGATTCAACACACAGTCAAAGAGACTGATTTGTTATTTCCATTACTTTTCTAATCAAAATGATTGATATTTTATTACATTCAAAAAGTTTAATTTATGTATACAAGTTAAAATCTGTTATTACAAATTTTAGATAAACACGTAAATAAACAATTGATAAATATTTGAAAACATTGGAGTAGTATTGGGCAGGGGTAACTTTTCTTTATACAATGCAGTAAAAGGTAAAACAGAGCAAGTGATATTACTACACACTGCTTTTGTTAAAATGTAACAACATTTTGAGTTGTGGGACACAAATACTTCATGCTACATATTTGATGCACTAGTGTATCGGCGACAGTTTGGGGTTATGTGCATTTTACGCTATGTTGCGTGAATCGTAAATATTGTTAGTTGATATTGCCTAATAAACCCCTAAATACTATCATTGTAATGGGATTCTTGCTTTTGTGAATACGGATTACTATTTTTTTTTTACAAAAGATGTCGCACTTCTGAACAAATATAAAATTGTGATTTAAAAAGATCAACAGATAACTAATCAAAGTAACTGCGACATTTGTCGGAAAATTGCATTGTTTCATGATTTATAGAGTAACATGATTTATTTGCTCTCAAATATTAACATAATACAAGATTTCAAATGAAAAATACTTTCAATGTTCAAATTCGCTACGAAGGTTTATTTTTAGAAAACAGGCGTCGATAGTGACGTTGTTGACTAAATGCACAGAGGCATACAAAACAAACCATTGTATATGGTAAGCACAATGACTAGGTTTGATTCGAGAGACACACTTTATGCGTAATTTAAGTTCCTAAGTAGACGAAGGTGGTATACCGGTGATATGTCAATGCTAGTTCGAGGACCGTACAAGGTACGGGTAATACAATTGTCTTCCTTCGCTACTTGTGTTTCTATGTACAGGGCTGCGCTAAACAATTAAACAACGCAAATAGCTTCATGTATTACATCATTATATACGATAAACCACACATAGCGTGCCATGTAAATATTACATATAGCCAGAAGCTCTGTTGAAAATGAAACCTCATACATAATGTAGCAAAATATTCATTTTATAATCAGATTCGGTTAACATTGTAATGATACACATAGTATTGTCATGGATGTTGGTAACGATGACAAATTAAAATACACTTCTATAAGTTCATACAGAGGTTAAAGGCTTTTACCTATGGACGAAGATTCGAACTGAGATCTGAGTGCGCACTAAAAGCATATCCCTACAGTGTAGTCAGGTGAAAAGTACAATTCAGGTTACATATTTTGGTTTAAACGTTTAAAAAACGTTTTGTACTTTAACGACAAATGTGTATGTGACCCTGCCTCATGTAAGGGTACCTGCGATCCGTAGAATGTGGCCTTACAAAGATCGTCGTCAGCTTATCTGATATATAATACACAAGCGTAGTTCTACTTGTTATATTCGTATTAACAGATAGGCTTTGTTAGTTGACAATGATTTGAGCAAACTTGTGTGTGTGTGTGTCATTCACGTTTTTGAAATAGTGTATTTATATATTTGTTGAAATAATACGTGTCTCGTTTTTTGATATTTAGTCACAGAAGTAATAAAAGTAGAGAGAACGACACAAGATATTATAGTTATCGTAAAATACGCGAAAAACATAATAAGCACATAATGATCACAAACAATCGGAGTTTAACCGGATATTTAATTTAAAAGAAGACACACTACACCTAATATATAGTTTAGTAACAAAACACACGTAGTTGAGTCAGTGTAGTAGACAACGTCAAAACATACAACGTGTAACCAGAGGTGTGATGAAAAATGAACCAACACCCTTGATTTAGCCGGAGTGTTCTGGTTTCCCCAACGATAACAAAGACAAGTGTAGATATAGAAAAACAATGGCACACCAGTTATAGTCTGTTTTACACTAACCCCACAGGTCACACAGGTAGTTGACTTACCTGTGTGATTTGTAGCTTTTCTGTTCATGTGATACATCACAATTTAAGTAGATATATAAAATTCTTATTGATTTTTGGATATAATTTGGAATTAATAGACAATCTTTTGTCTATGTTTATCATACTTGTGGTAATTGGGCTTTATGTTAAATATACTTCATTAAACAAAAGAGCATTTACATATGATATTGTCATTACTACATATTTTACATATAGTATTACAATACACAGATATAACCATCACTGCATATTACCATAACTGCATGTTAAAAAGTAAAATGCCTGAATATAATAATTTAATAACATTGACTAATTACACAATTCAAATATTTGATACTATAAGGCGTAACATTAAGAATGGCCTTATATTTGTACATCTACATCGCATCATCAAATTTTAACTTTTCACCACACAGCAGTTGAAATCCTGTATCAGATGGCGAACTAGTCCTATCTTCTCGTGTTCATATGAATATTAAAGCATCATTGTCAATGTTTGTTGTCTTTGTGCCGTGTGCCTTAATACTAAATAGACCTGCTTATCTTGCATCATATATATATATCTTAGGCATTATATCTTATTTTTCATATCAACAAACCTTGATGTCTCGGTATTTTAAATCTATTGGTTCGATATATTCAAAAGTAAACCAATCATTTTTTTTTATTTATATTCCTATACGATTTTGATATGAATTTGTTTGACTACATATATTTGATGTTTATGGTCAAAATGGGGACAGTCGAGACATAGTATTCCATGGTAATCTTGTTATTTATATTTTATAATCATTTACTTATAAACACTATAATTTCTGTCACACATAGACAATGTCTTAGTATATTTTTTACTTGTACTTTACGCATAGCATTAAATGATACCAAAAGAAGATACATTTTGTGTTATTGCTAAAAAAACATTTTATATTTATATGTTAATGTGCTGAAAAAGTCATTATAAAATGAAATAAATTATTTTATCAAACGTCTTGTAAGCCTCATAATCACTACAATATTAATACAAATCTTTCTATTTTTTTATTAAAATATTAATACCTGGTGTGATTTCTTATTACTTAAAACTGTTAACCACAAGTAAAAACAGAGCAAAATATTGCAAATACTTTCAAGAAATAAACTAGTATTCTTCTAACAGAATTCTTCTCCATATGTTTTGTTTAAAAAGTGAGGGAATCAAGCACAAGCCAGTTAAACAGATGTTTAGAAATAAAAGCCAAATATCGAAAGGACTCATTTAACATGAGTGTAAAATAAATACTACGTTCCTTTGATAGAGATGTGTAGCAGATTGAATAGCTTTGTACACTGACCGAGTAGGCGTCATTGTGCGTCACTCTTGCAGAACATGTATTTGTAACAATGATGTGCTTGCGAGCTATAACTTGATACGTGCCGTCACTGTCCTATATCGTTTCAGCAGAGAAGCTTTTGTTAAACTCAATAATTAAAATACCAGTAAAAATATAAGACACACACGATCGGTATGTGTGATTTGTGAAGATCACTGACATGCAAGAGGGGTGCTATTAAGGCTTAACCACATGTG